TTTTTTTCTCGCTCCTTTTGTCTTTCAACTTGATGTCTTTGGATAACGATTTACAACTAACCATGCTTAAAAGTGTTGAAATTGACAATACTACACCTACCACACTTAAACACTTTGTATGAATAATTTTAAAATAATTTTAGAACTACAGGTAGTTTTTCTTATCGATATTCTTTCATTGAGATTTTTTTTTTCTATGTAAAAATTCAATGAGATATCTTATTTTAAAAAATTTAAAATTATATTATTTATATCGCATAAACTCTAATTAATATCTATTGATAATGATAATTTTGATGAGAAAATAAAAAATTGAGAAGCGATGACATTTTAATAATTTTAGATCATATTTTTTCGAGAAAAATAATTTTGATAAATGTAAAATGTATAAAGAAAAAATATTTAAATTCTTTTTTTAATCGAAGGAAAAATATTTAAGTAACTCTAAAATATTACTAGTAGAAGAAGACATCCAAAACTATGTAATTTTTATAAATTTTTATTAAAAAAAATTAAAGTAATATATTTTTAAAGATAAAATCTTTTTATTTTTTATTTGATGAATTTAAACATGCTATATTAATGTTTTACCACCTGCTACGGTACTATAAATACTAATTTAAATATATATTATTATTTACGATATCCTGCCGAAAACGGGAGAAAGGGCGCACCTTGGCCACATTGAGGTGCATCCCCCCTCCTCCCTTGGCTGGGTTCGAGCCCTTCGCATGACCTATTGTCCAAAAAAAATGAAAAATGGAAAACGAGAAAGGGCAGTATAGGGAATGAAACAAAATTCCTGAAATTTCTCCTTTGATTATTCGTCTCCTTGGATTTGATCGTCCTTTCCTTTCGCATAAGATACTCCAGCACTCAACTACCCATCGACAAAATTTTGTCTTTGCTTGAAGTTTGGATCCAACAATCGGAGGAAAAATGCTAGCAGTTTTTGACAAATCAGTTGCCAAAAGCCCGGAGGCCCTTAATGCTCCTGATCACTCTCAGGCCGTATCCGCACTCAAAGATGGGTTCTTGGCAAAGCACTTTGGCTCTGTGCACCCTGGCTCTGTTACTGTGAACCTTGGCTCATCTGGGGTTTTGGCCTACTCTCTTAACAAGCAGAACCCACTTCTCCCTAGGTAACAATTCCGCATCTTTAATTATTCTATTGATTCCCCAATTTTTTTTTTTTTTTGTTTATTTGTTATTATTTTTATTTTTACTTTGATTGATCTGGTGTTTATCACTAGTGGGTTGTTTAATTTTATGTTTGTTTGTCCTGTTATGACAGTTTCCTTTTTATCTTTTTCTTTTTCAGTATTTTCTCAGTTTTATTTGCTTGTTTAGATGACCTGTGTTTGTGATAATGATTTGTATGACTCATAAATTTGATATAAAGATGATAGCTTTATCTGAATATTGATTTGGAGAAGCCAATGTTTCTTTTAATACTTTTGATTTGCCTACTAGATCTTGGTGATATTATTTGAGGTTCTCTTCCTTTCTTTTCTTTTCTTTTATTATTTACAAGTAACAATAACCATTTTGTTCTACAGGGTTCAATTCCTGGTTCCCTGTTTAGTTTCAAATGAAAAGAAAGGAGAAGGAAAAATTTTAGGAAAAGAATAGTAGACGCTGTTCTTTTTTTGGCCAAAGGAAAAAAGTAGTAGGCATTAGTTGTTAGCAACTTAGCATAGAATTGATTGTGTTGCTGGATTCTAGTATTCCATTAATGTTATTTAAATTATTTGAGAGCAATGTTCGGGTTGAAAGAATTTTCTTGTGCGACAAAGGGAATTGCATCACTGGATCTTTAAAGATTGACTACATCTTATCACCAATTTTTTTGTCCAACTTTTTGTTTCTTTTTTGTACTGAATGTTTATGGGACTAATTTTGTTCTTACCATGGGAGATGGGACATACATATAAATTGAAAACTATAGTTATCTTAGGGATTTTAGAAAGACAAAAGATAGATTCACCTAGTTGGATTATATCATTATAATAAACACTTTTTTTGGTATCTTTCATTAAATCAGTTATTTGGATCTTATAAGCAACATGATCATCTAATTCCCTCTTCCATGCTTTCAACCAATCATGTTTCTAGTTTTAGCCATAATTTATTAGCCGATACAATTGGCAAACTGGTCTTGTGGAGTATGGATCTAATTATGACATTTTGAAAATTTTTGAGTTTCTTCAGAGAGTCAAGTAATGTTTACAAGATTCTGGTTTTCCATTTTCCTTTCCATACTCTCCTAATTGATTTCTTTTTTTGGTAGTAATATCTAGTCTGTAAGGTGTAAGCATATTGACCGAATGATATTACTTGCTTGTGTTTACAGGCTGTTTGCAGTTGTGGATGATATTTTCTGTTTGTTTCAAGGCCACATCGAGAATGTTGCTGTTCTTAAGCAACAATATGGCTTAAGCAAAACTGCAAATGAGGTGATCATTATTATTGAGGCCTACAGATCCCTAAGAGACAGAGGTCCTTATCCTGCCGACCAGGTTGTAAGAGATATTGAGGGGAAATTTGCATTTATTCTCTATGACAGTAATTCACAAGTCGCATTTATAGCTGCTGTGAGTAACCCATTTACTTTGAACAGTTGTCCTGTAATACTTTCAATCTGCAAAATAGTTACTTAGATATCTTCATTCTTTATGCAGGATGCTGATGGAAATGTTCCTTTCTTTTGGGGAACTGATGCTGAAGGACATCTTGTTTTTTCAGATGAAGTAGATGTTGTGAAGAAGGGATGTGGGAAGTCCTTTGCTCCCTTCCCAAAAGGTATAACCATTTGGGAATTTGTGAGTGGGAAAAAGATATCTTACACAGTTACACGTGATTTTTGGTTGACCTCAGGAGAACTAAACAGAGAACAGACTTCTATTAATATCAAAATGTGCTTTAAGTGGTTTAATCTAAGATTATTGCAGAATGACATAGTGAAAAACTAAGGTAACATAGGGGAAATGTGGGCCTGTTAAGATTTCAATTGTTAAAATGTGTAATGAGTATCTGCATTTCTGTTTTCTAGGTTATTCTTAGTTGATTTGCATCATTATGCAGTGTATATTATCTCCCAATTAAATGCTTGTTGTGTTTCTCTTTCCATATCTTGCTTACATTTGGTTTCAATTGAAGCTCATATCTCTCTTTCCATATCTTCTGCGTATTTTTCATTGCCCTATTTAATCATGATCTTATTGTTTTGTTAGAATAATCTAAGCACATGACAACTAGTTTGCTAATATTCACTTCCCACCCTTCTCGTTTCAGGATGCTTCTTCACATCATCTGGAGGTTTGAGGAACTTCGAGCATCCACTCAATGAATTGAAGCCAGTGCCAAGGGTGGACAGTTCAGGACAAGTGTGTGGTGCTGATTTCAGTGTGGATGTAGATGCAAAGAAGGAATCATCTGGAATGAAAAAGGTTGGGAGTGCTGCTAACTGGTCCAGTCATTACTGAGTTCATAAATGGAATGGTAACTGTTATTACCAAGCCTTCCTGTCTTCCTCCACCCTTTTCTGTTGTTTTGAATCCATAACCTCTTATCCCCCTTGACTTAGCTGCACCATGGGGTATTGAACTTTATATTGTCATCAGTGTTTTTCCTAAGATAGCATTTGATGCAGCCATACATCTTTCGTACTACTAAAACTTAGCCAGGCATGGCATATAACATGGAATAACATCATCTTTCAGGAACGTTGATGATATTAGTTTTTATTCCCTGCTTTTTTAACTGTGGACGCACAGGATGTAACCATTAGAACTTTAGTTCTGATGGAACATTAAATTGCCACTTATAAAAGAACGTTGATGATATTAGTTTTTATTCCCTGCTTTTTTTACTGTGGATGCACGGGATGTAACCATTAGAACTTTAGTTATGATGGAATATTAAATTGCTACTTATAGAAGAACTTGGAATCCATGTGGAGAATATACAAGGAGAGCTACATGCCTTTTCCGCTTCAGTGTTCTTTACCATCATGGCACTATTATGAGTTCTTTACAACTTAATGCTAAACCATTTGTAATAGTGGTAAATTTGAAGGTGCTAACCTTGGCACATCTGTTCTGCTGAAAAATGAACTTTTCAGCCAACTGAGGCATGATCTTTCAGTTAGTCTTTCGCATCTGCAATCCTCCCAGGTGTTATCTGAAATATGTGCTTCTGTCAAGGAAAAATAAACATCGACATAGAAGGCGTTGGATTGAAAGAAATTATTCTATGCTTCTTTCAAGAAAATATTATCAGAAATTAATATACTGTAATAGAATATATAACTTAGGGAGGATATTGCTTCAGCTTCTGGGAGATTTGGGGCATCAAACAGCTTGCAGACGAGCTATTCACCTTCGCCTTTCCTAAACATCAACCTTATTGTGGCTGCATGGGCAAGTGCATGGGCAAGTACATGCCCTCTTGCTGGTTTCTTTGGATCTGATATGAACACTCCCCCACCAGGATCAGCAATAACTGAAGTAAATAAGCCAGTCATTCAATTTAACAGTGACCCTATAGCTTTGGCAAAGAAGGTAGAGTAACACATTGTGTGCCATCAAAACAATTGTCACTGAATGCAATTGTTATCAAACTGCTGAGAGTCACCTTGGTTAGTCATGTAGACTGCAACATTGAATTCTTCAGCTATCTTTGTGAGTCTGGAGAGCATCTGTGCCAATTTTTGCTGCAAATGAATATTAAAATGAATATGGTTCATGTCATGGAAGAGAACCAGTACAAGAAAAGGGTCAAATGTTCTAAAGGATATAAGCTCTTTGGAATTAACCTAGCGTTCAGCAAGTTCCCCTCTCCCCGTGAAATCCACTCGAAAGAGAGCAATAACGGAATCAACGATCTGAAGATATGAGCTTACACAAACGTCAGCCAACCATACTGCATGTTATGGGAAGTGTGAATGGTTCTTCAGCCATTTTTGCAGCCAAACCTAGAAGCAGGTTGTACTGATGCTCATATGTGTATGCACGAGCGTAAATGATCTTCACATTTAAAGAAAAAGAGTTATAAAAGTTGCTTCAACATTCAATTGACTATATTTGGAGACTGTTTCATACATTGTCAAGGACAGCTCCTGAGTCCATGCCAAATCTTTCAGCTATGGGTACAACTCGATCAGGCCGACTGCAAGCGCATTTAGTTGAAGAAAACATATTAAACCGGTTCGGTTTTATTCAGGATCGTTTTCCTCATATCTGGTAATAACCTCCTAACTTCTAAAAGTAAAGAACTATGACATTCCGTTTAAGAACACATAGGATACAAAGTTCCTTCAGTGTCAATGTAAGCAACCTTGCCATTCCCACCCTTCATGCTTGTGGGAAACTTCAAAAGAAATACCAAATTAGCACCTAATCGGCAAAGTTCGATGGAGATACATATGAATCATGGAGATGATGAGAAAGAAACCTGTGTAGAAACGCATAGAGTATGTGCGAGCTGTGTTTTCCTCGACCTAAATCAGCATCAAATTAGTTTACAACTCTGGACTGACCACTATCTTTTCAGCAGCTTTGCAGATTTTGTCAACTTTGGCCTCTGATAAGCCTTTGATTCCAGTTAAGTGCTGTGAGAATGGAAGAATAACAAAATTGTAAAAGAAGCAAGCCCGTAGCATAATCTTGAGAATTTTGAGTATTCAAATTGAAAATTGCTGTACCTTCCTGGTGTGCATCATCAAGCCATTGCAGGTGTAGATCCCTGCTTTTTGGAGCTTCCTCACATCTCCGGTATTGATTCCTGCGGAGATCACTGCACACAATGCAACGCATTTCAGATCGTAACTTAGAACAACACTTGAAGACGCTGTAAATCAATTATAAACAAGAAACAGAGAGCAATATTCAAGATATGATACTTCAACGATGAATCTCGTAGCAGATTTAGAGAAATGCGTTTAGATCTAACATCGACGTTGAAATATAACTAATTAAACTCTAATCTAATGTCAACGATCTCAGACCAAGTGAAATCAAAGCAGAAACTGACACCAATTCCAAGCGCAGATCATTACGAGAACAGGCAGAAACCAAATCCAAAATAAATGACTAGAAATCTTCCCAATCTCGAACTCCAATTTAAGATCAGACTCAGTACATGAAAGACGTAAAACAGAACAGAAACTGAGGATCAGTAACCGTAAAAAAGAAACAAGGCAAAAATCCAAGAATCTCAGTATACATTAACCGATCGCCTCAAACAAGTCTTCTTCGTCATTGATGTCTTCCCGCTCCACCTCCACGAGCTGCAGCTGGTGCTGGCTTGCTTCCTCGGCTCTGAGATTTATCAAATAAGCAAAAACGATAACGATAACGTGATATCAATCCTAGAAATGAAGAGAAAGAAGAGTGTAGAGATCTGTAACTTACTTGAGAGTGGCAATCATCTTTGTTGCAGCGGAGCATCGATGCGTTTTTTTCCTGAGAAATTGGGAGAGAAAGGGAAGGAGAAGATCAGAGCGAGAGAGGAAGAGGGAGATTTAATTTGAATTTAGTCTCGAATGGAGTGGATTTATAAAGGCAGGAATTACCGAAATTTATTCTCTAATCTTAAATTTGAATATTGTGAATAATGAAATAAATATTAAGAGAATTCTTTTATCAGACACACTTCTATTTTGGGTTAATGAGAATCTAATGTAGGAGTTTAGTAAAAATAAATAAATGGCGGGAATTGCGGAGTTGAGATCCGTCTTGGTCCGGCAATGGCTGTTAACCTCTCCAGTTAGGATCACTACTGTTGAACATAATTATCCTAGTTGTTGCCATGTCAGCATCTGATAACTGGACCCACTGACAGTGGAGATTCAAAGGATGAAAAATGTTTATAGGTAAAAGAAAATCCCTAAACTTGTAAAAAATGCTTACTATCCTCCCTCAAAAAATAGTTGTTAAATATATTCCTAAACTTAAAAAAGCTAGACTCATTCTTCTTAAAATTTTTTGATAGTCAAGGTAGAAAAGAGTTTGGTTAAATTGATATTTATTAATTTAAATTTTTTAAAACATCAAGGTGGATAACCATATGATGTATAAAAAAAAGAGAGTAAGAAGAAAAAGAAAAAAAAAAGTTAAAATATGTTGTTCTTTTATAAATATAAAGAGAAAGAATAAAAATCTCACATTAGTGAAATATGAAGAAAAAAAGTGATTTAAATATATCAAAATACATGTAATTATTGAATTAATCTTTTAGTTATAATATAATATCGAAACATGCAAGGGACCATTTAATATCTCCATGCATAATTAAAAGGAAAAAAAAAAAAAGAAGTAAAAAGGTCTAGAACAGTCAATATTTGGGGACCGTTTTGGTACTTTTAAAAGTTTAGGGACCATTTTCGGGCTTTTATCCATAAAGTAACTGCCTATTAGGATTTGTCTAGATTCTAGGGTTTGTCTTCACAGAGACAAAACCAAAGAAGCGGTCTTTTATGAACTTTCTTTCATCTTTACCCGCGCCCGTCTGCATTTTCTCTTCAATTTCCCCACTCTTCCTCTGATTTTCCATGTTATTTCCTTTTAATTTTCTTCCTTCTTCTTCTTTCACATTCTTCACCTTCAATTTAAATAATCCGTTCGAACCCCACCCTCATCCATTTTTCCCCTGCGCTTTTTCTCCTAGAATTTATCAGTTTCAGACCAAATGCAACTCGCTGATTCCGCCGACGTCCCCAGTGAATCTTCTGGAAACTCCAGGAAGGAGCCGAGAGAAGATGAAGCCACCGCCTCCACCGCCAGCTCGACTACCATCAATAATGACGATATAAGCAGCTGCAGTCCCGGTGAGGAGTTGGTTCTCGACGTTTCTGGTAAAAGTTTGGAGTTTCCTTTGCTCGAGAACTCCAAGGGATCGCTGGAAGAAGAAGTTTATGTGTACAGAAATGTGTTCAATTTGATACCGAAATCTGTGTGGAGTTTTGGGAGGTTGAAGAATTTGAAATTTTTTGCGAATGAGATTAATTTGTTTCCAGAGGAAATTGGGGATTTGGTCGGGTTGAAATGCTTGCAGGTGAAGATACCATTGCCGGGGTTCAGTGGTCTGGCTTTGAGCAAGTTGAAGGGCCTCAAGGAACTGGATGTCAGTAGGATACCTCCTCGGTCTTCCGTCTTGATGCTGTTGAGTGAGATTGCCGGGCTCCAGTGCCTGACCAAGCTTTCTGTTTGTCATTTTTCCATAAGGTATCTTTACTTAGTTTCTCTGTTTTTCATTCAATTTTTAAAATTTATGGAGCTGTTTTCTTTGTTGCAATTCTGGGTAGTTTTACTTTAAACTTAGTTTTAATTGATTGGAAAAAACTGATATCGGAATTAGGTGACTCTTTAATTCTGTGATCCGACTGTTTGAAGTATTAGAGATAGGAGTTGGTTTTACCATAATGGGGCAGAAGTGAAATGGAGGAAAGGAGAAACTCAAAATAATGAGGCATAATCAAGGGCAGCTTTGATTTTTCTCTTTATTCTCCTTTTATTTAGGATTCAGTTAAGCCAGAGCTGTTTTCTACCTTAGTGTATGTTAATGTAATTGTGTATAATCATAATGTTGGATGTATGAGGAATACAACACGAATACAACACGTTTTCACCATACTTTAACAGTTTGGTTTTTAAATTTTAACCCGAAATAAAAGTCAGTTGACATTCTATTATTTATTTTACTTAAACTACAGTGGTTATCCATGTCTCATATTGAACATATGTTCAGAACTCAAGTGGTTTTTTTTATTCTTACTTGGTGAAATAATGAATGTACAATAGGTAAAAAATCAGATCATTCTTAAAAGTGAAGCTTTTGCCAAAATTTCTACTATTGTTGGAACACTTTTTATGGCCTTGTCTTATTTCTCCCTTGCAGATACCTTCCTCCAGAAATTGGCTGTTTAAAGAATTTGGAATATTTGGATTTTTCATTCAATAAGATAAAGAGTTTGCCTGCAGAAATAACTTATTTGAGTGCCTTGATATCATTAAAAGTTGCCAATAATAAATTGGTGGAACTTCCATCAGGTTTGTCCTTGTTGCAACGATTAGAAAACTTGGACTTGTCAAATAATAGGTTGATATCGTTTGATTCTCTTGAATTGGGATTGATGCACAACCTTCAAACGTTGAATCTTCAGGTACCTATCACACAAATGCAGATCAAAGTAACAAGCTGTTCCATTTTCTTTTTTAATCCTTTTTCCATTTTGGTCCTTTCCTCATTAGGATGCTGTCAATTTCCGTTTTGGTTTTGTTATAGCATTATATGTTTTACCTATCCAGTCTTTCTTCTTATGCAACACAGCCTCCACTTATGTTGATGGATTCGTCATGCTGTTCACTCATGATATCCAGATTGATATTGTCTCACACTTTTGTTGGTTTAAATTGAGCTTTTGATGTTGCTGTATGCTTATAGACACATAGCTACAAGTGCAAGCGCATAGGACAGGCATTTATATCTTCTTAATTCTTTTTCTTTATTTTTTTGTCCTTACTATCATGTGATCATTGTTTCAGTACAATAGACTTCAAAATTGTTCTGACATACCTCCGTGGATGCACTGCAATTTGGATGGAAATGTCAGTGCCAGGTTCAATGATGACCTAATCAGCTCTTCAGTTGAGATGGATGTATTTGAAACTGCCATTCAGGATGATAATGGAAGTATTTCTTACCATGGTAAGGTTTTGGGTCTGCCTTTCTATTTATGTTCTTCCCCCTCATTTTCTATTTTATATCATCTTTTGAGATCTGGGCTTGGACATGAAGTTGAATCTTTCTTTCTAAATTGATCCAGGCTCTTGTCATAATCCCTCAAGTATTGCTGTATCCTCATCAAACAATAGATGTATTGCATCTCAGAAGTTGAGTAAGCGATGGAAGAGAAGACATTACTTGCAACAAAGAGCTAGACAAGAGCGTTTAAACAACAGTAGGAAGTGGAAGGGGGATGGACATGCAGAAGTGTTGATTATGGAGGCAGGGGACAATGCACCTGACAATTTAGATGCCCTTACTTCTGGAGCTCCTGCAGAAGATGCATCAGACATTATAGTCCTCAATGATGATGACAAACCGTTACTTTCTGTGGAAGCCAAAAGTGAAAATTCAAGTGTTAGACTTGAGAAGGATAAACTAACTTCCCAGAAGGGGATCCATGTTGAAAATGGTTCATCCATTGAACTTAAGGTTACAAGTAAAAGGGATAAAGATGAATTTTCCCATCTTGATGTGTCTCTGCCCACCCCACCAGACAAAACTTTTGAGCACAGTGAAGGTTCATCTTCAGCACCATGCAGATCTTCTACTAAGTCTAAGAGGCATTCTGATAAGGATCTTGATAATCCAAAACGATGCAAGTCTTGGAAAGGAATAGATGCTAGCCTTAGTTTATCATGCAAGTACAGTAACATGTCATTTTGTGGTTTTGAAGATCATCTGCCAGATGGCTTTTATGATGGAGGACGTGACCGGCCCTTCAAGCCACTGCAGACTTATGAAAACATTTTGCATCTTGACTCACATGAAGTTATTCTTGTGGACAGGTTAGTTTGTAGATGTGAATTATGTTGATATATTGGTTTCTGATTAACTGGCCGGCATGACATATTGGTTTTAGTACACTATAATTGTTGACTTTAATTATTGATT